TTTTTTTTCTACTCCTTTCTGAACCAGGTGCATTCGGCGGAGTTCAAAAAAAAAAACAAAAAAAAATTGAATATATCGAGATGGTTATGAGCTGCAGGCACATATGGAGTGTTGTGTAGTGGAGCAAGGCCCTATGAAGCAAATGATGCATATGGGGAATCTAGAGGCTGTGCAGGGTTCGACCTCCCCATGAGTTGTGGAGAGTCCGACGAGACCGTCTGGCACTCGCTTGCCGCACATTTTTCCCGCCAGCCGTTTTGTGTTTTGTGCCCCACATTTGCGGCAAATGTGTGGGGCACAAAACGACAAAGCGGGTCGGGCGGGTGCCGTGGCCCACATTTGCGCCCCACACAAACGCCTGGCTCTTTGTCGTTTTGTGCCTCACACATTTGCTCCCTCTTTTCATTTTCCCGCCCGCCGTTTTGTGCCCCACATTTGCGCCCCACACAAACAACAAAACGGGTCGGGCGGGTGCCGCGGCCCGCCCACCCATCCACACACACACACACACACACACACACACACACACACACGCCCGCCCGCCCGCCCCCACACACATTTCGTTTGTTTGGCTTTCCTAGTAAATTGCTACTGGATTTTGTTTTTGTGCGTTGTCATTTTGCCCTCTCACTAACTCACCCTATGTGCTTACCCTGTATGAATGTGTTATCTGGGTCGAATGGCCTACAGTCTAAACCAGAAGAGGGTTCGTTTATTCCCGAGGGGACCGTTAAACGGGTTGAGTACCTCTTTTTGGTCTCGAGGGAACCCCATTAAGGATAAAATGAAGAGTGATGTGGCCTGTGTCGTATGCGGAGCCATATCTTGTGCTATTATCTGACTTAACCAAAACGCAAACATACTATCTATAATAGCCATAGTGTGTGCTATGTGGCTAACCGGCATGCAAGCATACTATCTATAGGCTATAGCCATATAGCATGTGCCGTGTCACTAACCAACATGCAAGCATACTATCTATAAGACTATAACTTACTTTCTTCCTCCTTTCACACTGCCCACTTTCTGTGCGTTGTGAGTCTTGTGACCTTTTCCCCCCTCTGTTCTTCTGAAGCGTCCATGTGCATCAGCTTTAAAGCACCAGTACACCACATATCGGCCCGCGGATGTCAGCATTAAACCTCCCGCACCACTTCGACGGCCGCTGAATTTTTTTTTTCAACGACAGGCCTGGCCGCGCGGCGCCTCCGAGTTTTGCTTGTGGCGACAAAAACTTTCTGCAAGGCTGGGGCCGTGTACTAGCGGTTTAAGATGCGACAAATAGTCACAGGGAGCCTGTGTCTGACGCTATCCGGGGGGTGCTGTGTTGAGGGAGGCTGTGTGTGTCGTGGTGGTCCCCGGCGTTGACCGACTTTTGTCAAAGTGCTTCACTGACTCTTGATGGTGACGTCAGCCTACAGTCTGCAGTGTGAGTAAGGAGTGGTCCGCTTTGGTTCGTGTTGTGCGTCTGGGTGGCCCTATCGGGGCTGCCCTGCGGCCTGCTGCTTGGCACCTTGCCCGCTACCCTTGCATTACCTCGCTGCCCGTGCTGCTCGCCCGCCTGTTTATCCTCCCCTGCCGTGCTGGCCACCTGCGTGCTTTCTTGGTCGCCTCGCTGCCTGCCTGGTCGCGCGCTCGCCCGCTCGGTGGCTTGTGCGCCTGTGGGCTACTTCGCTCGTTGCTTTGTTCTCTGGCTCTGGCTTTCTAGGTTGCCTCGCTGCCGGCCTGGCCGCCTACCCGCCTGCTTGCTGAATCGTTTGCCTGGGGGCTACTTGGCTCGTTGCTTTGTGGTCTGCCTCTGTGCCTGCTCACCTTTACTGCAGCCGCTTCTGCCTCACTGCTTTCTCTGTCACCTGCCTGCCTGTACGCTCGAGACGGGGACTAAGTAGATTCTACAGACTGCTGACGGCTCATCCTCCTTTTTCTTTTTTTTCTTTTCTTTTCTTTTTTTTTCAGATAGATTTTTTTTTTTTTTTTTTTTTTTTTTCACAACGTAGTTTAAGCGATCCTAAATTTTCAG